TCTTGTTCTGGACCCCATATAAATTCGTTATTTTTTTTGCAACAATTCTCTTAAAGGAAACGATTTATCTGAATATTTATTTAAAAATTTTGTAATATATGTCGTTAATCCTAAGAACCTTCTAACTTCCGATACTGTTTCCGGTTTTGGAAATTTCGTAATTGCTTCTACATAATCTTTGTTTGGTTCAATTCCCTTATCACTGACTATATATCCTAAATAATTTATTTTATTTACACCAAATGAACATTTTTCCTTATTTAAAGTAATTCCATATTCATTTAAAGTTTTCATTACTTTTATTAAATTTTGATCATGTTCTTGTTTATTTCTGCCACTAATTAAAATATCATCTGCATGTACGGTTACAGAATTAACTCCACAGACGTCTATAATCTGATTTAACGTTTTCTGAAAAACTTCTGGCAAAGAACATATTCCAAATGGACAAGTTTTATAGACAAATCTACCGAAAGGACTTATAAAAGTTGTTAAAAGTTTTGAAGATTCAGAAAGTTTTACCTGGTGGAAACCTTTGGAACAATCTAGTTTTGAGAACAAAATTCCATCTTCTATTTTAGCTAACGTTTCCTCAACTGATGGTAACTGATAAAGTTCTCTTTTAACAAATTTATTTAGATTTGTATAATCTACACATATTCGGATTTTATCACTTTTTTTTTAGCAACTACAATAGGTGAACACCAATCGGTAGGTTGATCTACTTTCTCAATTATTCCATCATTTATTAATTTATTTAATTCTTGTCGAACTTTTTCTATTAGAGGCATTGGAATCCGTCTTGGTACAGATACACTATAAGGCTCTACATTTTCAGCTAATTTTATAGCATACTCAAAATTTTTAATTCTTCCAATGCCTTTAAACAAATTTGGAAATAAATCAATTAAGTATTGTTCATAATTACTTACTTTTATTTCGTTGATAGGTGAATTTTTAACATTTTTGTTTATAATTAAATTTCCATCTTTCCATTTGATGATTTTCAATTTTTCAAGTGCTGGTCTTCCTAAAAGGTTATCGTTCGTATCTGCCACAAATATTTTGATCTTCTCTCTAATATCCCTGTATTTCACATCAACTTTAATTTTTCCTTTGGTATTAATCTTAGCATTTTCCCCAGCACCAACTAACATAACGCAAGTTTTATGTAATTTTGGTTTTTCTTTCATCATATTATAGGTAGCATATGATAAAACTGTGGTATCTGCACCAGTATCAATTTTAAAATTTACCATTTGCCCTTGGATTCCCAATTTTACAATATACGGAGCATTTTGATGTGTACATATATTTCCAATGATTTTTATTATTTCATTAAATTTTTTGGGATTTTCAAATTCGTCACTGGATTCTGTCGAAGAATATGATACCTAAGTCCTGACTGGTTGTTGGCATTACTGTTTGCTTATTTATTTCCTTAATACTTTTTTGTTCTACAATATTTTGTGTAATGTCCTCTTATGCCACATTTTGAACATACAATCTTAAATGCAGGGCACTGCTGAATTATATGTTTATTTTTTGAACCACATCTTGAACATTTTTCATTTTTTTCATAATTCTTGAATTTGGTGAATTTTGCATTTTTCCTTACAGTATTTATTTCTTTGAAATCCAAAAACCTATTTCTCAATTCTCCGTTTTGTTTTTTAATACATTCAGCCTGATTGATTTTTGTTATTGTTGATTCAAGCGTCAAAAATGTATCCAACTGTAAAGATTCTAAAAGACTTTTGTCCAAAATTCCAACCACAAGACGATCTCTTATTAATTCATTTTCTAGAATACCATAATTACATTTTTTTGCTAATTTAATTACTTCTTCAATGTATTCTTGAGAGGTTTCTCCTTCGATTTGGTTTCTCAAATTGAATTTAGCCCGTTTATATATGATATTAACAGTTTTCTTAAAATATTTATTAAAATCGTCGATAAGACTCGTATAAGTTTGATAATCCTCTTCTTTTGTCTGCAAACGATCAAAAATTTTCCCATAAAAAGTAGAACATTGTTAATTTGGGTATTTTCAGAGTAATTTTGAAGTTTGATTGCAGCACGGTACCTTTCATAGTGTTTCAACCATTTTTCCCATTCATCCTTTTCAAATAAAATTTTTTCAGGCTTTGGGACGTCTCTAATGCTGCTCTCTAAAGTTTCTCGTGTGGGTTCGGTTTGACTTTCCTGTCGTCCAAAAACATTTTGCTGCGCCAGCAATGCTTGCAAATTTTGAACATGTGTTCTCAAATCTTCTATATTTTCTTCCACATCTAAAGGTGGATTTTCATTCGTTGTTCGTTTATATCTAGGCATTTGGAAAACCTGACACCATGTAAGAAGACGAATAGAAGATACTCTATATTTGAAGCTAACTTTATTACTTTCTGTCAAGTTCCGACATCTGTCGCTAGTTACCTTTTCCTACCTATAATATAATCTACTAGTACATGTACAGGCCGGGCTCGGAATTTTTAAATTTCAAGTATTCGAATAGTCGTTTGGTATTTTATTCGAATAGTTGAATAATTCGAATAGTCGAATATTCGAATACCTATTCGAATAGTCGAATATTCGAATAGTCGAATATTCGAATATGTAGTCAAAAAGTCGAATATTCGAATAGTCCAATATTCCAATAGTCAAATATTGATAGAGGACCTTATTAAGAGAATAAAATGGGACTTTAAAAATGACGTTTTTCGACTAACAATCATTCTTGATAAAAGTTTCTACTTCCCGCAAAAGAACGTTCTACGACGAAGCGAATTTTTGATTTAGAATGCAGAGTATCGCAGAGTTAGAAAAACTAAAATAATTTAGATGTTTTCTAAATGGCAAATTTACAAAGTGGTAAAATTTACATTACGAACAAAAATGCATTGTATTTATTGAGAGCTGATTTTCAACGAAAACACTTCGTATATTGTATCATTCAAATGCAAATATTGAAACGAAACAATTGAAATTTTAAATTGAATATATATTCAAATCAAAAAGTGAGTAATTGCATTGTTAAATAGTCGAATATTCGAATAGTCGAATATTCGAATAGTCGAATATTCGAATAGTCGAATTTGCTAACTAACAAAAAAGTCGAATTTAGAATAGTCGAATAGTCGAATATTCGAATTATTCGAATACAATTCCGAACCCTAGAGGGTGATCTATTATAAATGTAACCCCCTGCTAACTTTTTCATTTGACGTTTTTGACAGAAGTGTCAAATACAAAAGTTTCAAGAAATTGTCAAAAGTTTTTAACTTAGTCAGTTTTAGGCATACAGGGTGCGTCAAAAAAGTGCAGCAGCGTGAAGTTATATTTTTTTAAATAGAACACCCTATATATTGTGCGCCTATTTGTTAGTCCCCTTTAACCTGTTTTCAACGATATAGGGTTTGATATGTCTATCTTCAACACTTATAAGGAAAAACATGAAAACCCCTTTTAAGGTTTCATATTGAAAAAAGGAAAATTATACCATTTAAGCTTTATAGAATTTTTTTTATTATCAGTTTATTGTTCAAATTTTATTCATTAATATACAAGGTGAAATATTATAATAAATCCAGATGTCTAAGCTATTATTATTATTTAAAAAAATAAAAAACCTAGGAAGGAATTTTCGCGTTTTTCCCTATAACTATTGGAGATACACTGAGGAATAAACATATCAAACCATATATCGTTGAAATCAGGTTGAAGGGGACTAACAAACAGGCGCACAATATACAGGGTGTTCCATTTAAAAAAATATAACTTCACACTGCTGCACTTTTTTGACGCACCCTGTATGCCTAAAACTGACTTAGTTAAAAACTTTTGACAATTTCTTGAAACTTTTGTATTTGACACTTCTGTCAAAAACATTAAATGAAAAAGTTAACAGGGGGTTACATTTATAATAGATCACCCTGTACATTATAGGAAATTAGCGTAAGCTGTTGATAGAGGGTAGCACTTCCGACAAGAGAAAATAATTTGAGCACAGGTTTCAAACCTATCTTTTATTTTCTACTAGCAGTAGTAAAAAAAAATTCTATACATCCGTTGGTAGAGAAAGTCATTATACAGTGTGATTTTTTAAGTGTGCAACATATGGGGATTTTTTTTAGTAATAGCACAACCCAAATACAAACAAGGCCAAAAGTTGGTGCATGTCTGATAATCATATTAGGTACAGTTAGAATGGTTGCAAGTCAAACAGCATACAGGGTAGCTCAAACAATATCAAAGCTGATACTGTAAAGTACCCTTATTTTAGAAAATTCAGCAAAATGTTATAGAGAAAAGTTGTTTGGAATTAAAAGTTATGCCTAAATACCAAAACATAGCCTCCTAAGATTTTTTTTATTTTCTTTCGAAAAAAATCTATAATTTCTATATTTTTTTTATTTTTTATTTCCACCCTTAACACTTTCAAAAATTAATTAAAATCAAATCAATTTTACATAACTTTGTTCAAATTCAAGCATATTTGTAAAATTAACTTAGATTTTTAATTTTTTCTGGAATCACAAAATTCATGTTTGTTGCAATGATATTCAACACAACTTTAAAATGTCGCAATTTTTTTTTTTAACAAGTTAAAACATTACTAATGATAATAGCCATATTAAAAAAACTCTCCTTAAAGTGCAAAAGTTTTATTTTATTTAAGTAAATATTAGTAGAATTTTGATATTTTTTGAGCCACCCTGTATGCTGTTTGACTGGTAACCATTCTGAGTGCACCTAATATGATTATCAGACATGCACCAACTTTTGGCCTTGTTTGTATTTTGATTGTGCTATTACTAAAAAAAAATCCCATATGTTGCACACTCAAGTAATGACACTGTATACCTTCCGCATTATAAACCTCGGCGCTTCGCACCTCGGTTTATAAAAGCGCTCGGTATATAATGACCAACTTCTCTACCTAGGTATATAATGTACTATTAGTCATATTCTGGATTCATATAAAACTAATATTTTTTGTTATTCTTTATTTAGTTTGAATGTCAAATACATTATGAACTGTTAAAGTTTGGGTTTTAGTTTTTTGGACGCCAGAACGATTTCTTTTTGTCTCTCATCCTCTGTCAAAGAATCCAAATATTTACTAAAATCCTTCTCATATTTGCGGTGCTTCTGTAAATTCAAATTCATTCAACAGCTTCTTTGTACAAAAATCATTAAATTACCTTTTTCAGCAATTCAAAATACCGGTCTTTTTCTTCTTGAGGCAACGCCTTCCACTTCACCAAGCAATATTTCCATCTTTCTGTTGACGGCACTGTTTCCGCATTACTTGCAATTGTGCTTACAAATAGTCGTAATGGTGTTAATGGTGGCCTTTTAGGTTTTCCTTAAAAAGAAAATATGATAGAATGAGATAGGTATGATATCTAAGTAAAAAAAGAGAAAGAAATTCATCTTGTAAAGTGAGAATGAGAAAATTATAAGATTCCAAAAAATAAATCTCGCTATTTCTTGATTCTCTAGTTGAGATTTTCCCTACCTGAAAGTTTTTCTTTCAAACATTTCTCTTCTTTGGTCAGACCTGACTTCCTTGCTGATGTCTTCGGAATAAACTTTGGATGTCGAGCCATGTATTGAGCAAGTTTTTTCTGATATTCAATAATTCCTTCTTCTGCTCGATTTATCCAATCCAGCTTAACCAAGTCTGGCAATTGCTTCCATTTTTCGCGACAGTCTTTTCGAAATTGTGTCCTATCTTCGGGAGTTTGATTTTTCATTTCGGATATCAGGAATAGTCCGAATGCCTTTTCAGGTTCTTTTGGCGGTTTTTCAGTTTGTACTTTTATATTTTTTTTGTATACCGGTTTTTCTTTTTTCACTTGAGGATGTTCATCACTAAAATGTTATTTTATTGATTATTTTTCAACTGATAATAAATAAATACTCACTAAAATTGAGCTAGCTTAACTTCGTACTCCTTTCGCATTTCCATTGCCATCAAATCATACTTTTGTTTCTCCTCTGAGGATAATTGTCGGTATTTTTCAATAATATATCTCTCAAATGAGATCTAAAATTAATTAAAGTATACATAATTAGAATGCCAGAATATAATTCCTATAGAACATTTTTCTATAGTCCAAAATCCAAGAAGCAACTCTTATTCTTTCTTTTTCTGTTTCAAAAAAATGAAACTTACCCCATGCAAATCTGGTCGTTTTTTGGCTAGTTTATCACAATGCTTTGTATAATAAATAAAATATGAAGACATTGGTCGATCAGGCATCCCTGGATGCTTTTTAACAATCTAAAATAAATGTTTTTAATAAAAATGAGGCAAAATAAATCATAGAGTGTGTATACTTTTTTAATTGGATTCATGTTGATCGACTGCAAGTCATTGAATTTAAGTATTTCCTGAATGTCGCTAGTAATCTCTTGCAGTAATCTGTAATGACGAACTTTTTTGAATAATTGCGACCATATTCGTTTGCACTGATCTATGGTGTAATTTTTGAAAGCCACCTAAAAAATCAAATTAAAACATCAAATTGTACATTTCACAACACTCTTTACACACGAGGAGACAGTTTTATGGATAAAGGCCATTTTAGACAATTTTGACAAGATATTATTCTACTCAAGTTTATACTTACTTTATGCCATTCCAATTGTTTAAGTCTGTAGTGATAGCTTCTATGGTCGTCGTCGGGAATATATTCTTGTATCCGCTTAATTAAAATTAGCTGATCTTCTTTGGACATTAAATCTGAATTTAAAAAAGAATCATCGTTTAAGATTTGTTATTATGTATTTACATTTTACAACAAAAATTAACTCAATACAAGATGTTAATGAAAATCATTACTAGCTCACTAGATACCGAAGATTGTAAAGAAGCAACACTGAAGATTTTGAGGTTTCCAAAGACTAAAAAAAACTCTTTTTATGGGATTGTGAAATCTAGGAATTCTGATGATTGAAGATTCCTCAGAAGTTTCTGCGGCCTTGTGGACATATTTCTAGGAATTGTACAATGAACAGTTAAAAGACTGTGAAGAGGCTCTGAGAAATTATTTGAGATTCTGAACTAAGGAATCTGTAAACTCTCGTCAATTTGAGAATTCAGACCAAAGCCTCTGAGCATTGCAGATTGCAGAATGAGGAATGTTCCGCTCCATTTTCAATTTTTTTGTTTGAATTATTTTGATCTATTCCCAGGCTCTTGGATTTTCTTTTTTTTTTTTGTTAAATAAAAATTGCAATGAAATGAAAATGAAGAGAAGAAAAAAAAAATTACACTTTTTAGCTGAATTACAAAGTGTAGAGGGTTAATTATTATACCTTAGCTCAAAATTAAACAATTCGGGTTGTATAAAACCCCTAGGGCTTGCCACAAATATAGAGTCAAAATTAAGAAAAATTGAAAAGCACAAATTTTAATTTTTTGGCACTTTTCAAGGCTACTCTCTTCGACTTCTTATTTCAAAATCTTCAAACTCGAGTTTAAACTTTAATAACTCGTTATTCTTAAGCTACATTAGCGCGAATTTGTCAGAAATTCTAGTTCTTATTATATTACAAAAAATTTACTAGTGGTTATTATAACCGAGAATATAGTTATTGTTGGGAAAACTGAGTTGGAAATTTTAAACAAAACTTGAATAAAACCAAGAGAATAATTTTGCCTACATAATTTTTTCTTGAGGCTTGTTTACAGTATTCGGCTGGACTATTTCACGAGAAAAACAAGCCAAATTTTCATTTTGAACATTTATTTCCATTTGATGACATTTGTCTAACTCAATCGTTTTTTACTCTAACCATACAAAATTTTGTTGCTGAAAAACCATCATGTTGGTTTTGTCCTGTTTCCTACTGACAAAACTTCTACCTGTTCTGTTTCTACAGGGGTCGTATTTTCGAATATTCTCGCATACGAAATTTGATACGATTTCGAATGCTCCCCATTTAATTTACATTGCTGTCAGTCAAATTACGTGTACGAAATGTACCCGAATGGTTTCGAAAATCGCACCCCAGGTGGGGCGTTTCAACCAATAGAAAGGCTGGTGTTTCTTTACAATTTAGGTTATCTAATCTCATTTACTGCCGCTTGGATTTAAAAATGGTGTAGAGTGTTTTACGCTGGCAAAATTATAGGGCAAAATGTCATAGGAATCTGGACTAGTGCGAATGCACGGAGGACATTTGATAGGTTGTAATGGAAATGACCAGTTTGTCATTTATTGCCGCTTGAATTTGGTTCAACCATAGTGAAATAGTCATATATGTATAATATCACAAGAGAAAAAATTCCTATGACATTTTGCCAGTGTAAAACACTCTAGTGAAATAGTCACATAAAATTTCATTCTACTAATTATGGCTGTAATAATCCTTTCAATGATAGGGCCCTTAGGTTTTTAAATAAACACTGTGATCCTTTAAATTTAACTTTAAATCAGTTTAAAACTATCAGTAAACTGTAGATTTGTTTGTGATCAGTTTCCTATAATGTACACCTTTTAAAATTTAAGGAAATATTAATGACTATATTATATTTATTGTTATTATTATGCTGTAATAGGGTGATCCCACTGATCCCGTGAATTTACTTAATGAATTAAAAATTGCGCAAAAACGCTGAGGAGCACCACAGGATTTTGTCTTGGGGGGGGGGGGAGGCAGATTTGCAGGAAGTGTTTCTTGCGGCTCCATCGTGACCGCTGCCAGAGGCGAAGCGAATTTTTGGGTGCCACGCCGCTTTTAGGGTTTCTTTACGCTATTTTTGGGACTGTTTATTTTAATTTTGAAGAATTACTTATAAAATTTAAAGGTCTTGGGGGGCGGCAAATGCCCCCTTGCTACGCCAGTGAGGAACACACTGAGGAGATATTCGATGCGTCAATCGCGAACTTCTAAAAAATAAAAGATCCGCGACTCACAGATTTATACTTGGTACTTACTCAATAAAATTACATTTTTTAAAACGCAATTTCTCAACAGCGCATAGCTCAAATTTAAAAATTGTAGCGGCATTTTAAAGAGAATTTACATGCCCTTCAAAAAGATGTACCACAACATATCATACCCCTTCCCATTTGGAAAAATAAGAGCAGTAGCCGCCCCTGCTAGGGGGTTGAAGTTACAGGGATGCAGTGATGTTAGTGGGTCATGATCAGCGCGCATGACGGTGGGTCATGGCATGACCGTCACGTCACATTCAATATGACCGTTGGTCATGATCATTTTACCGCATTGTGTGAAAATGTGCAATAAAGTAAACTGCATAAAGCCTGTTTTTTTTTTAAAGATAAAAGTCAAAATGACATTAGGTTGGCAACACAATGTGAAATTGTCAATGCTTTCAAATTTTTATGTAGAAAAGGATTGTGCTGCCAACATAGTTACTAAATTTTTGAATTGGGGAATTATTATCTTTAAAAAAAAACAGATTTTAGTATGCGGTAAAGTAGATTCGGTGTTTAGGTACACTCAAAAATCAGTTCAGAAATTCCTAAGGAAATTTCAATAATGCCTTCTTTAGGAGATATAGATGCTTATAGGCATAACTTTGTACCTAACACATGCGGAAAATGTCTTTACCGCACTTAATGACTGCCATTGCGTGCAATAAAGTATCACTGCTGCATTTGTTAGGTGAAAAACTATTATTTTTGTTACTTTATTCTACCTATTAGGCTAGAATAGTATTCATTCACTTGTTTCGCAAATTTTTGAAGTTTCTTCTGTCCTGAAATCCTTAATGATTTGTCAAAAGGGTATAATCGAGGGTATAATCAATAATTGACTATCCTTATTTTAAACCCATTTGTGAGTTAATAGGCAATAGACTGTAGGTGATGGCGTTTCAAATTGAAATAATTACTCTGAATTATGACCATAGACATGACCGTCATGACACGAGTTATGTAGTTGAAAATCTTCCACTATTATTTACTTAATGTTAAGATAATGCATCTACTTTCTAAAGTATTTACTCTAACGATATATTTATGACTTTTTCCAATATATAAGTGTGTAATCAACCTTAGAAGTTAAGTTAGTGTTACTGAAGACTTTGTACTGTTAGCATAAGTTTGTAAACCTAATTTCGAAAATAAAAGTTTTTTTTACGGTTTCGCGTAAACGAGAAACTTAACTGGCGCAGTCGGTAGGATTCCAGAAGGCGAATTCCTGAAAATCGCAGTATTTTGCAATTCGTCGTTGGTTTCAACCATTCGTCTGAAGAAAACAGGGACAAGGAAAGACTCTGAGGACTTCAAGTAAGTGTTGAGTTCCTTCTATTTTTCCCGCACTTTTCCTTAATACCAATAATTATAGGCATATTCTGTCTCAAAAATCTTAAATTATTCTCAATTATTTTTACAATTTTCTCTTTATACTTATTAAATAACAATGACACAACCAGCAGCCACCGCTGAAGCTCTGGCTAGAAATCTTGGAAATATCAGTTTTACTGTGCCAACTATCCAGGCAGCAAAAAAAATTGCTCGAATTCTTAGGAATTTCACTGGTCGTAGTGATCACCTAAAATCTTTCATTAATTCAGTTGACAAATTTCATGCTAGATATGGTCAAACGACCGATAATAACCTAAATGAATTCGTTTTCGCTTCAATTTGTTCGAAAATTATCAACGAAGCTGGCGACTTTTTATTGTGCAGACCAGATCTAGAAACCTGGCCACAAATTCGACAAGCCTTACGCGAAAAGTTTGGCGACAAAGTCGATCGTCACGTTTTACAGCAACAATTCATTTATTTAACAAAAAATAGAAATGAAAACATTGCAGAATTTCTAGAACGACTAAAATTCTCAAAAATGCGTCTCAACTTAAAAATTAATTCAGACCTAGATATCAATGATCAAACAAAATTAGTATTGATAGATCAAAATGAAGTAACAGCAGTTACAGTTTTGATGGCTAATTGCAATACTGAACTTAGAACATTATCAACGTTAAAAAATCCCAAAAATATTGAGGACGCGACGTCTTTAGTTTTAAACCACTCTTTATTAGAACAACAAATCAACCTGAGACAACAATCTTACCAGAAACTTGTAAATAAACCCAATCACAATAATACTAACATCAGAGCATACAACAATAATACAAATCATAATAATACCAATTAAATTACCAACCAAGATATGTACAAAATACTCCTACCTATACCTCAAACCAGGTGCAGAACCAAAATAATTCTTACAGGAATCCCCAACAACAAAGCTCTTTTCCGAACTCAAAATTCCCTAGTCAACCTATAAAAATGGAACCACGTCCGGTTCAACCTAAGTACTTCACTAACCAGGAAGTATTTGGCAAACCAACAAATGTGTTTTCACCGAAAAATTCTCACAAACCCCAAGGTAAAGCAGAACCTATGTCAACCACAAGTAGATTACCCTCTACAAGAAATTTTAACAATCAACTGGACCTCCAAACTTCACATTCCAGGAATTAACCAATGTGGAAACTGACCAACCCGATGACAATCCTGTTGTAGAATACAACGAATCCAACGAATATGAAGAAAATAATTACTATTCCGAAAACACAGAGCCTGAATCCCAAGAAAATTTATCTACTTGGTACGAACCAAATTTTCAAGAGGCCGAGCCTCCAATAGATCAGTCATAGATCTTAATAATTTCATGGCAAATCCCCTACCATTTATCCAAATAAATCAACCCCCTATCAAACTGCTCATTGATACGGGATGCCACCCATCATTATTACGA